TCTATTAAGGAAATCTAGAGGCAATATTTTTCTGGTTAAAATTTTTAAACTGTTTCTAAAAATCGACTCAAATCGAGGTCATAACAATTTTTTTCTTCTCTTTTTTTTCTCTTTAGCTTTCACCTTTCCTGGTGGTTAGCTCCTTCTCTTCACTTTATGTTATTCATACAATCTCTTTTATCTAATTTATACTTCTTCATATTGGTTCTAACTTTATGGCCCCATTGAAGTTTTGGCCTACTTTTAAACTACTTAGTAGTCTTGTACTTCGCACTTTATCCTTTCTTGTTACCCCAGCAATCATCCTCAGCATTCTCATCTCCATAGTTTGTAGACTTCTCTCGTCTGATTCTTTGGTTGGCCATGTTTCCGAATTATATAGAATAGTTGGTTGTACTATGGAACTGTAAATTTTTCCCTTTAAGTTGTGTGGGATTCTTTTGTCAAACAGCACTCCAGATAAAGATCTACACTTTAACCACCCTTGATTAATTTTACTCTTTTCTCTTTTTCTATTGTGCCGTTTGTTTGTATAGTGGAGCCCAAATATTTGCAGCTTTCAATTGCCGATATCTGCCATTCATTTATATCAAAAATCGAGCTCATAACAATATTAATAAATAAATACATTAATGCTTTATTATATAAATTATTTATGGATAAAACATGTTAAATTATAAATCGTAAAATCAAAAATATATTTATGGGTTAAATTAGCCAGCAAAAATTTTTTCAAAGGAATTATCAAAAACAACTAATTAAAAAAAGTAAACTTTAATGAAATTTTTATTTTTATATATTATTTTTCCCTTCGAAAAAATAATGGTGTTAGTATAGATGTTCAATTATAACAAATGGATTCAGTGTCTTCATGACAGAATATTCACTGAAAGTAAACGCCCCTTAATATCCATACTAATCACCCTAAAATATTTTTCAGTGCCTTCGGCTACAATATTGCCACCTTATTAATTACAATATTAATTGTAATGGTAATCCCTTCATTATAAAAATATTAACATAGATCATAATACTATTGAAAAATTATGAGTGTGAAAGAATTATTTTTTAGAATATGAATTAAATATATTCCCTTCATTTACGATAAATGAATTATTATTATATATTGTTTGGCATGAAGTTTGCTGATAAAATGTTTAATCTTTAAATTTCATTTTAAAATCTAGTAAAAAATTATCCAGAAATAATTTTTATTTCAATATATAGAATTGATCGATGTTTAGCAAGCAATATAGTACCTATATTATAAAGATCGATGATAAAAATATCAAATAAATTATTACACATTATATTTTGTCCCAATTTATTTATAATTGAATACATATTTTGCCCCATTTTATTTATAACTGAATAAATCTTGAAAAATTTTAGAAGCAAAATGCTCCTACCCCACCCTCCCCCCCCCAACCCATTCCCTCACCCACACTATTGTAGACATTTGCTAAATTTATCCATTTTTATCGAGATATTAATAATATTTTTATAATTATTTATACAAAGAAACATATCAATCTGAAGCCACCCAGAAAATCAGTGGCATGCTTGGCTATCATAAAATATTGAAAAATAATGTTTTTTAAAAAAATTATAGAGGTGTTAGAATAATTTAATCGATTAGAGAAAATATATAAGAAAGCCTGGAAAGAATATTGGTGAGATTTTATCACGTGACACTTTATTATGCCACACTTTATCACTCAGTCATTATAACGCAATATTTTATCTTGCGAAACTTAATCATGATACATATGATAATTGAATATTGTTTATTTAAATAGTGAAGTTTTGATATCTGATTTTTTTACTTTTTTAAAATATGTAATTTTTTCACTCTATTTCAAAGCAAACCATAAAAAGAAATATAAATATAATTATTTAAAATAGCAATATATAAAATAATTATATGATACAAAATTAAAAAAATATGATTGAAAATCTAAAAAATGTAAATATAAAAAAAATAACAAAATATATTATAGTGGCACAGATCCATGAATAAATATGCAATTGGATCTATATCAAGAAGTATTCTCAGCCCTAGATAATTCATTGGGATCCCTGGAGATATAAGATGGTCTTTTCTTGCTAAAGTTTTAGGAAATGTTATGCCTCAATGCCAAAGTTACCAAGAATGGAAGTGACAAAAGGTAAAAATTGGGCATCTCCTAGAAAAAAATGTTTGAGGCGTTTAGAAGTTTCGCGGCCGTGATTGAAGAGATGTGTAGATTTGATTTCGTAAATAAACCTTTACAGGTATAGTTCCAAACTAGAGATCTTTTAGTCAAAGTAGTGAATGATACTCTAAATGGGCGTTTGTTGCCTAGGGTATTGTGTACTAAATGTATCATTAATTGAATGAGAGTAGCAGATATGGCCCTATATATGAGAGCATTTATTGTAAGATGATATCAGTGCCTTCCTTTATTATCTCAGCAATGTGAAGAATGGTTTCCTTTCCTATCGACCTTGATCTGAACTCATTTTCAATATATCCATTTTCTTTGAGAAGTACGGTATCATTACGATTCAAGGATATAGGGGCTTATTCCACTCTAAAAATTTCCAAAATGTCGGGTGATAAATGGCATCGGGATTGAGTTCCATAATGCCAGCCTTTTAATGATATTTTATTTTTATTTTTTTAAATCGTTCCCTTTAAAAAAATGTTTTGTTTTACTTTAAGCTCGTGGAACATTATCCTTCCTTGTATTCCTTCCCGAGTATCTCATTTTACGTACCACAAATAACAATAAATAGGAATTAAAAATAAGGGAGAGGATTTTTTTTCTATTTAAAAAAAACAACAATAATAAACGGTGTAGAATTCAGTGATGTGGCATACCATTCGTGCTGTGATTTACTTGAAAAATGTAAGAAAAGACTATAAAGAAGTTAGAAAAAAACCTAACAGCTCATTGGCCTAAATTTAAGGATAAGAAGAGAAGATGTAAAATGTCAGGTTGCTTATTTACAATATAAGTAGCTTGCAAAAATTATTTATGTTTTACATTCAAATATTATTGTTATTAAAATTTTCAAAAATTAAAAGATTTAAATAATATTTGTTTTATTTAAAAAAATTATATAAATATATATAGTTTATAGTATAATAAAATTTACAGTGGAAAAAATTGAAATTTGCATCACTTAATTGCATAATATGTATATTTTAATGCACATACCATTCATCTTTTAAGAAAGTTAGAATTTTTTTTAAAAAAGTCATGAGAGAGAAAGAAAAAAAATGCAGTTTGGTAAAAAAATAAGTTATTCTAACAGAGTGAAATGCAATCCAGGGTTAAATATATTATTTTTGCTAATTAATTAGATTTACAAAAACTAGCTTATAATCATAATACCTCTTATTTTTATAACAATTGTTTTAACCATACATTGTGTTTAATGATGTATTAATGATGTATTAATCTTTATAACTCTTTTATTAGTATATGTCAATTAAACATGATTTTAGGAACCGGGGGATGGAATGAGACGGGATGTTTGTCAGATTTTATTCTTATACCTAACTTATATTTATTGAATTTTCTTTTTTATATTTTATTAGAATATAATATGGGGTTACAAAAAATTTAAACTTTAAAATTCATTAAAAATTTATAGACCAAAATATTCCTCTCACCTCATTCGAAAAGTAACTTTTAAAAATTTTAAATATTAAATATATAGTCTTAAAAAGCTAAGATGTGTCTCTCTCAATTCTCCAGATCAAAAGATCATTTTTATATACAATAAAATTAAGTTTCAATAAATGTGGAGGGCTTGGGGCATATTGTTTGAAGTTGTTTTATATTCTGAATTCACCATTTTTTAAATTGATTCTCCTATTTATTTCGGCATATTTAGCAAAGAATTATGTTCACAAATTATATTAGAAATAAATTGCTCATTTGAAGGAGAAAAAAATAATTGAATAATCTTCATCAAAATATAGTTTAAGAATATAACTAGAAAACTGATTCTATGCAACAATAAATCGTCATATTATAATAATTAAAAGAATTTCAATTTGATCTTCTTTAGAAACCGAGAAATACTTTAAGAATATAATTAGAAAACTGATTCTATGCAACAATAAAATGTCATATTATAATAATTAAAAGAACTTCAATTTGATCTTATTTAAAAACCGAGAATAGATTTTAAACCCATCTTAGGAGATGAAATTATGCATAAGTATTTGATTACGCTTACGCTTTTCTAAAGTATGTTTAGATCTGAGATATTTAATTTTGATTCATTTTTAAAAATTAATGTAAATGTCAAAATAACGAGAATTATCCCGTGTCTTTTAGATTCTAGGATATGGAACTTGTAAATGTAACCTTATTTTTATGTAATAATTGTCTATATGAAATGAAAAAAATTTTTTACTTTAAAAATTATAGATTACAACCCCCCCCCCCCCAATCAATGACTCTCTTGACCCAAAATATTAATAAAATTACTTTGAACAACTTTTACATCTTCGAATTCCAAAAAAAAAATTTCCTTCTAATTTAAACCAATAATAACCAATGTAAGGCATTATAAAATGAGATACCATTTATGTTAAATAAATATTTATTTGGAAAGTTCTGAGTGTTTGAAATGCGTTACCTCGCCAAATCTAGCCTCCCCATATCTGATATGATTCAATAATCATTATAAATTATATAAAAGATTTGATTAATTTATGATCATTTATCCAAATTTCAAACTAAATTTATTAAATATATTGTATGCTCTAAGTTATAATTTGTAAAAATGTAAAATACACATTGTATAAAAATTCCCATTTCCGTACATTATCATTTTTTAATTATTAATCTAATGCGCCTTAAAGAACGAATTATACAATAATATAACCATGACATAAAAAAAAATTATACTAATATAATATTATCTTATAATAATTTTATGATGGTATGTACATGTATGAATTAAATATAAATCTAGCCTAATTATGATTTAGAAGTTATTTAAGTTGAAATCTTTAGAACAGGAATAATTGCTTTTGCCACTGTACCATCCTTTACCTGAGTTGGTTTATCCTTGTTAGAAGTTTTATCTCTTTTATTTCTTATCCTACGATTTCTCTGTATCCTAAGTTGTCTATTCCTATTATTTATTTTTCTGCGTCTAATCATGTTTCGTTTCCTAAGATATAAATTATTTATGAATATATTTATAAGCAATTCCTTCCCAGTGGCCACAATTAAATATTTTAAAAATATATATTTTTAATATTCTTAAATTTTTTCATCATTTATCTACGTTTCATAACCTAACAGCTTGTAGTTTCCGCGCTTTAAGAGCGGCCAATTTGCGTTTCCTAATTTGCAGATTTTTCAGTTGTATTTGTTTCTTCTTTTTGGCTTGTGCTTGTAATTTACGTTTTCTAATTTGCTGTCTCTTCCTTAAGGCTATCTTTTTTTTTTGAGCTAATAATGCTCTGCGTTTTAGTGCAGCTTGAACTCGTTTAGCTTTAGCTATTCTAGCCCTTCTGATAGCTACTCTCCTTGCTACTACTCCCCTTACCCTAGCTTGTCGTTTATTTATAGTCTTAATATCCTGAGATTCGAGTAACTCGTTGGCATCTCTTTTTTTTTTGGTAGTAGATCCATTTCTACCCAATGAGCCGTCCATATGATTGAAAGGGTTCAATAACTCCTCATAATCTGAGTTAAGGTGGGTGTCATCCTCATCCGAAGATAAAAAATTAAAATCGTATTGCGGAGAATCGAGTTCCCCAGAGTCTTTAGAATGCAGTTGCTCATCATCATCAAAAGAAAACGACTCAATGTTCTCATTATTATCATCTTTATGCTCATTAGCCAATTGAACCGATGTTAAATATTGCCCATTTCCTATTAGCATCGATCGATCTAGGTCAAATGGATCATTCTTAAAAAGAGATCCATCTGCTATATCGCTAAACCCATTTTGAATGTATTTCGTTTGTTTAATCTCGGGAGAACTTAGATTAGATTATATATTTTTATATAGAAAAAAAAAATTACATCATTACATTAATTATAAAATTTTGTATTTAGAAAATCTTTTATAATTTTTTTTCGCAAAGTTATTATTTTTAAAAAAAAAAATTGACCTAGTACATGTTATAGATCCTCTATTGCATTGACATACACCTTCAGAGCTTGACCAAGATTGACCCGAATGATAAATAATACCGGTTTTGGAATGACACGATTGTGCTTTAAATGTTTATAAAAAAAATTTTCGAAACTCACTAGATTTTAAGTTTAAATGTCCGAGTCTTATTTCAAATTTTAAGCAGTTTTAGTAATAAAAAGGATTAGTGATGCAAAATAGCTCTATTTGACCCGGTTAAAAACAGCTAACTCAATATTTTAGCTAGAAAAATATTGCCTAAGCTTCGAGATTTCGCCAATCTATATCCAAACCTTTATGCTATCTATGAACAAAATCGTCAGGTTTGCGTAATATTTTTCCATATATAATATCGAGTCCACCAATTTTAAAATTCGGCTCAGGAGCTATTTTGCATCACTAAAAAGGATTATATATATATATACATATATACCTGAATATACATCAGTCAACTTCGTTACCCAATAAAGAAAAACGAAAAAATTGTTATATTTTAATATACTGTGCACGTACATTCTGTTATAATTTACATTTAAAAAAAAAGCATATAAAATAAATCTAAAATTAATTCAATTTAGAAAAAAAAATATGGTGAAGATTTAAGACTTTATATATTTTCATAATGACCTGACACATTAAAAGAAATTATAAAAAAAATTTAAATTCTCAAAGTATGTATAGACAAGAAACACTTTTTCTTTATTTATATACATAAATAATGAGAGAGGTCATCAGTAAAAGTGTGATATTTATACATAATTGAATAAATCTTTTTAGTCTAAAATCTTTAATTTTTTTTAGCATATAATTGTTTAATTTTTGAATGTTCCTCAAGTAAGTTGTTAAATAGTATTAATTTTTAATGAGATTAGAACACATAAATAATCGGTTTATATAAAATAGAGCCGGTATATGACCCGACTTTATCGTTATTTCCTGTAGAATAAAATATAAAATTAAGAGACATTACGCTAAATGCTAAACTAGCCGAAATAAAATGTAAAGTATCCATGTGTAGTGAAAATCAGGGGTTCGATTTTATACGATACTAACCAAACAGGGCTAACGGGGTCTAATAAATAAAAATAATTGTCTGATTAGGTTTTTACCATCTTCAGTCAGAGCTAGGTGGATTATTTAGCTATTCACACGTTGTATTAAATCAATTATAAAATAACTCATCATTTTATTGTATTTAAATAAATTTTGCTTAAAAAGGACATTAGGCGACAACTTTTTTTGATCCCACTAAACTTTCTTCCAATTTTTATTATAGAATATCTTGGATAAACTGTACATCTTCCTACTTATATTATTTTAGTAGAGTTTTATGAACAGTTTTATGCTTTAAAAATTATTTTTGGTATTTAGTCTCTAATTTGGGTACGAAAAGAAATTAAACTAGAAAAAGAATGTTTATATGATGTTTTGTTTATGTATTAATATGGTTCCACATATTCCATTTTAAAAGAAAAGCATTTATTTATTTGTTATATATTATATAATATTATTTTTAGATATAATTGAAAAACTAGGAAAAGATTTTAGCGTCTTTCCTTTTCAACTTATCTTAAACAAGGTTTTGTTGGATTCCTTGCGAAAGAAAAATAAGGCGCCTTCTCAATTTACGTGAGTTCTCCTTAAGACGGGTTCCAACTTGCTGAATGAATAAATGAATGAATAAATAAATGAATGAATGAATGAATAAATAAATAAATACATGAATAAATAAATTAATAAATAAACGCATGAATAAATGAATGAATGAATGAATAAATGAATGAATAAATGAATGAATAAATGAATGAATAAATGAATGAATAAATGAATGAATAAATGAATGAATAAATGAATGAATAAATGAATGAATAAATGAATGAATAAATGAATGAATAAATGAATGAATAAATGAATGAATAAATGAATGAATAAATGAATGAATAAATGAATGAATAAATGAATGAATAAATGAATGAATAAATGAATGAATAAATGAATGAATAAATGAATGAATAAATGAATGAATAAATGAATGAATAAATGAATGAATAAATGAATGAATAAATGAATGAATAAATGAATGAATAAATGAATGAATAAATGAATGAATAAATGAATGAATAAATGAATGAATAAATGAATGAATAAATGAATGAATAAATGAATGAATAAATGAATGAATAAATGAATGAATAAATGAATGAATAAATAAATGAATGAATAAATGAATGAATAAATGAATGAATAAATGAATGAATAAATGAATGAATAAATGAATGAATAAATGAATGAATAAATGAATGAATAAATGAATGAATAAATGAATGAATAAATGAATGAATAAATTAATTAATTAATGAAAGAATAAATTAATGAATGAATGAATGTATGAATGAATGTATGAATGAATGTATGAATGAATGTATGAATGAATGTATGAATGAATGTATGAATGAATGTATGAATGAATGTATGAATGAATGTATGAATGAATGTATGAATGAATGTATGAATGAATGTATGAATGAATGTATGAATGAATATATGAATGAATGTATGTATGAATGTAATTAAACTAGAGATAATATTATACATTATTTAAATAGAGAATTTTAGTTCAAGCGGAAAAAAAATTAAATTTAAATTATCGCCTGAAAAAATAAAATTGGCATTTCGATAGCATCTCAATTCTTTTAAATGATTTTTAAACATTATATAAAAATTTCCTTTGGGATCGGGTCGGGCTGTAAGATATGTCGTCCGACCAGAAGCCCGAATCGACCCGATAAATAAATATTAAAAATACAAATATCCTTAATAATACAAATATTCTTATACAAATATCTTTGTTTCACAAAAATGTCAATCGGAACTGATATTGATATGTCTTTTTATATGTTCATTATTATATGTTTTAGAAATTTTTTCTATATATGAGCATCTATATCATCTTTTTTCGACATCAATCATGCAAATTATTTTTATATAATTACAAAACTGAATAAAATTTATATGTATATGTTAGCGGCAATGTGTCATTTTTTTTTTCTAAATCATTTTTTGAGCTCGTTTTTTAAATTTAAGAATCTGATTTTACCAGTAATGTATTCCATCGTGTTTGGAACACCTACTCTATGAACTTCATACAATTTTTGTATGAACTTTTGAATTTAATATAATTTATATTCGTTTTTATATAGATTTTTATATAAATTATAAATGCTATAAGATTAAGGGAAAATTGACTAAAATTTACAAGATTATTTTCGGTAAAATATTTGTAAATTTAAAAAAAAACGCGCTCAGAAAATGATTTAAATTGACTCTAACATATACAAATTAAATAAAATAAAACTTAATATGAATATTTATTAGATATGAGTTTAAATATACTTTTGGCAATATGTGAATAAATACACATAATTTTTTCGGCTCGGATCCGGTACTGATCGAGTTGGATCTAAGAATTCTGGCTTGGGTGGGACTCGGGTCGAGTTGGATCTAAAAATGCTCGGGGTCGGGCAGCGAACCAATTACTTCGCATACCTCTAGGGATACCTAAAATTAGTTACTTATTTACGTATATTTAAAAAAAAATATTTTAATTAATAAAATAATGAATATAATGAATATAATTTATTTTAGTTACTTATTTTACTTATGATTTGAATAAATAAAATGAATATATTTTAAAAATATTAAATTTATTCAAATCCTTTTACTTCTTACATCCTTTATTTAAACTTTGAAATCTAAATGATGACATCTTGGCCCCTGCCATTTTTGAAGGAAATTTGACATTCTTTAAACTAGAGAGAGACACAATAATAAAATTAACCAGTAGATTAGCTTTTGAGCTATGTGATGTTTTTAAATAGCCCAATAAATATTTTAGCCAAAATAATATTGTGTAAGCGAGATTTGGCAAAAAGAGGTCTAAACCTTTCTGCCATTTATTAGCAAAATCTCCAGGCTGTATTATTTTGACTAAAATCTTAATCGGGCCTTTTTTTTCATCATCTTCAATTTCAACATTTTAAAAAAAATAACAAAATGAGAACTTGTAATCTAGATGTTTTTTAGCATTTAATATAAAAATAATAATATAAATAATATTGATTATATTGATTATATAACAAATTCTTTGAGAACCTCCATATTATATTTCATAATATTCAAAGAGTTCCTTCTCTTAAAACCACTCTTCATGTTATACCATCTTCTATTCTACCCACTTCTTCAGTTGAGAGAATATTTAGTCTAGCAAAAGATGTTTTTGATAAAAAGATGATGTTAAGATAAAAACTTTGAGATCATCTTGGCTTAAAAGCTATTATAATATATATTAATAAAAATCTTATTATTAAACCTATTCTTATGTGTTTTATTATATTCCAAATTTCAATACAGATTAAATTTAAAAAAATATATATAATTGGGATTAATATGTATTTAAATTTATTAATCATTTATTAAGGGAAGAAACAATATTTTAAAAAAATTATTGCGTTACATTTAAAATGGAGCCACAGCCATAGCACGCTATTTTTGGAAAAGTATCTGGCTATATATTTCTTGGAAACTTAGTTGTAGTCAGCAATAGCGAGCCATCTTTCTAAGTAGAGTTAGCATTATTGCTAATTATTTGATATAAGCAAGTAAAATACTTTATGTTGATTTAAATTAAATTTTTAAATAAAGAAAAAATCTAAACTTAAATTTGTATACAAACTTCAAGTTAAAAGTATTTTTTCATTTTTGTTATATCAATTTATCTTGTAAATAATTTTATATTAATGTATTCAAATTAACTAATTATTTTTTTATATATATGTCGTAATTTTTAAAGGGATCATGACTATCCGGGATCTTCACGGGATTTAAAGGGATAAC